CAAAGGGCCCTGTAATTGGGGATTTCCAAGCTGTCAAATTTAGAGGCCAGTTTCATTGACCAGTTTGGGTTCATCTGAATTATTAAGATGAGGTCCAGGGATCTCAGATGAGGAGCACTTGGACAAACACAGGTCAGGATGTCACCATGATTTTTCACACCACCAACACAGTGGATGAATAAATGTCTAGTTCGGTTTCAGCTTGAATTTCTGAGCAGCTGAGCAGGACTAAGTCTTGACTTCAGGACCACTAACAGGGAAGAAAGAAAGGTAGAACTACCTGGCCTTCACACACTTAATTTCTTTTCTTAATCAAGCAGGAAGAAACAAACAAATGGTGCCCCAGAAAGGATGCACACAGTGGAGAAGAACTAGGGCAGGTGAGCAGCCCTTGGTTTAGCCAAACTCCAGGGAAAGCAAAGCCACGTGCCGTGTCCTCAGTATCCCTGAGCCCATCTGTGTGTGTCTGCAGCAATATCCCTGCTTCCCATGGCAGATGGTGGCCAGGCTTTGCTTACCCCAACTGCAGAAAGCTTACCTGACTTTTTTTTTTTCCCCAGAGGAAATTTTTGAAAAAGGGAACTCTGCTGACCTTATCTGCATCTTGCCTGGTTATTTTCCAACCCAAGTACATCTTAGGCTTTAACTTAAACTCCAGCCTGTGTTCATGGCACAGTTAAGGACATTCTTTGAGATTCTGTAGGTGAATGATGAAAGGTTATATGATCTGCCCAGGTGACCCAGGCAGCACAGTGATTTTGTACAAGAACTTAATTATTTTCTTGACCTTTGAGATTTTGAATCAATTCATTATATAGATAAGAAACTCCTTTTTACCAAATTCTAGCTAGCCAAAATTTAGACAAACAAGACAATAAAACTGGTAAAAAGAGACAGCTTCCTCACTGACTATCAATGTTTAATTGCCTTCAGTATACAGCTTGAGAAATAAAAACTTTTTAGGCAGGAAGGAAACAGAACCAGAGACATGTTTATGACTACTGCACAAAAGTAGGGAAACAAAAAACCAGAAAGAACATTATTGTTTGAAAATACAGATTCATAACAAACTCTTCAAGCTTTCACTACTTAAAAGCCATTTTATAACACACATTTCAGCATCACCAGGAGTTCTGGATTTATTTATGTCACGCTGATTTCTTTCCAAAGTGTAGTTTCTATCTGTTTGGGTACGTCTCTGGTTCAGACACAGGTAATGCAAGCCCTCAAATGAGGCTGTTGGAGAACCAGAAATACTTTAAACAAATTTATTTCTAATTGACTAGATTTCATGTTGATTGTACCCCTGTAAGACCTGATTAAGTGAATTCATTACCATTTATAATTTTATGACAGCACACATCGGAGATTCCAGCCATGGAAATTATCCCAGTCTAATCAAGATACGCAAACTGAATATAAAAGTACTTAAAAAAAAAATAAATCTTGATTGAATCAGGATTTAAAATATTCTTAATAGAAAAAAATAGCATCACTTGAACTCCAGGCACACTACTATCAGTTTCTGTCATGGAGAAAGCATTTAGTAAAAGTTCTTACAAAATGTTCTGTAGGTAAGAAGCAGCTGCTGACACAGGATTTGACACGAGGCTTCTGGGAAGGCCACCCCTGTGGGACCATGAAAAGCAGTGATGCCCAGGAATACTGTGCTTTAAAGGACTCCTCATTTTCTATAAAACAGGGGGTGATGGTGACCCTGGAAGATGCACCCCTCACTCTGCATTATTCTCCCCAGTTTGCCCCCCAAATGCCTCAGTGCGTGTTGCTAATCGGAACAATTCCCAGGCAGAGCTCATTTCCCAACGCTGCTGCTGCTGCTGTCAGAGCTGTGCATCCCTGCACCTCATTAGAAGAGAGGAACAGCAGTCAGGCAGTTCTGCTCACCCTGGGATGCAGCTGTGCAGGGAAGGAAATAATTAAGCCCATCATATGAACTAAATCCTTCAGGACATGCACATTAATGAGATTTACAAAACCCACACTCTGCTTTGCTGTTTGCAGGAACAAGGGAGGCAGAGACAGAGAGAGAAAAGCCCTTCTTTTCAGCATTAGCATAAAACTAGGAACATATTTTGTTCAATATGAGCATTAGAAAGAGATTTGCCATTAGGTTTTATGTCTGCCTAATGCTCTCCCACAGATTTTAGTCTGCATCACGGATGTTTGGTTTGGGTTTTTTTTACGCTTGCCTTCACTAGCTGCCTAACCTCAAAAGTTTTCTCCAGTCCTTAATAAATCTAAACTGCCCTTCTCCACATGGTTTTTCAGTCACACATAGAGAGGGATTATTTCTGCATATCAGAGTTGAATTTTCTTATACGCTCCTTAAAAGGAGCTTATATAAAAGGGAGACTGACATCTTACATGGGCAGATAGTGACAGGACAAGGAATAGTTTTAAACTAAAAGAAGAGAAATTAAGATTAGACAGAAATTCTTTAGTCAGGGGGTGATAAGTCCCTCCAACCTGTGCCAGGGACTTAGCACCCCCTGACTAAAGAATTGTCAGGGACTGTGGCAAAAAGTTGTGGAAAGCTGTGGCTGCCCCATCCCTGGAAGTGTTCAAGTCCAGGTTGGATAGGGCTTGGAGCAACCTGGTCTAGGTGTCCCTGCCCACAGCAGAGGGTAGGAATTAGACAAAGTCCCTTCCAACTCAAACCATTCCAGGATTCTATGCACAATATTTTGCATAGTGTAATAAAAGGTGTTAAATATATACTGGTATGGGGGAAAAAAACCCACAGCAAACACACCTAACCTAAAGACTCAAAACCATGCAACAAAGACATATAATAATAGCATTTTTAAGAAAACCGCAGGCATGGGATGAAATTTCCAGTTCAGCACCCGCTCCACGCACGTAAAGCACACAGGAGTGTTTGCAGCCTGTGTCCAACCCACTGTCACAGGAGTGTTTGCAGCCTGTGTCAACCCCACTGTCACAGGAGTGTTTGCAGCCTGTGTCCAACCCCACTGTCACTGCTGCTGTCACAGTGTGCTCATATAAAGCACACAGGAGTGTTTGCAGCCTGTGTCCAACCCCACTGTCACAGCAGTGTTTGCAGCCTGTGTCAACCCCACTGTCACTGCTGCCTCTCACAATGTGCTGAATGGCTGCAGTGACTGTGACTGCAGTGAATGGAAATGGGGAAGAATGACATTCAAAAAAGTTAAAAAACAAGACTGAAAAGGTAAGCAAAGGCCTTCCACAATCACATCTATATTTTAAACTTTGTTTCAGTGTTTATACCTCATCAAAGGTAGTTATGAGTAACTGCTGCTCCTTATGCTTCAGATTTAATTGAAAAGTAGTTCAGCCACACACTGATGAGGTCTTTCTGCTTCCTACACTGAGTACATAATTTAAAAATTCATGACTTGAGATTTTTTTTTCCCGTTCTAGAATTATTTTATGTAATTCCTTTCACAAACCACACTTACTCTCTTCTTTATGCAATTCAAATCTGTACATCCCTCATCAGGGAGTGACTGATGGATTATTTTGGTCACGCCACAGACTGTAGACCAGCCTGACACTTGAAAAGTCTCTCACCACAACTCCAAACTCACTTAAATGTTTCAGCCAACAAAAATAATTACTCCCATCAAATCAACACAATGTCAAATACAATACCTGTACCTTTGTCTTTTGACTGGTATATTTATCTTTGATAGTGACCCTGACACTGAAGCAAACACTCAATTATTAAATGCCCTGATAAAACAGAAATTTCTGTTGTACTGGCCTTTGAGGTACAAATATTTGATTAATATTTTCCCCTTTTCCCATTTTCACAGACTGTACTGCTGTTTCCAGATTATACTCCTTCATGTCACTACACACATGACATCAATAAATCTCACACATTTTACATTGTTTCTCTATTTTCTCTCTGCTTCCAGTGCTCATCCAAAGGTACTGGTACTGTTAGGACTCATTATCTATTCTTTGATCTGTGTCCACAATGTGCACTAACACAAAACCCTGCAGCACCCAGTGCAAGACAAGGCACTTTCAGCTCCTCTTATCACAGAGAAAATAAGTTTTATAGTTTACAGATCACAGAGAAGCATCAAGCTTTACCAAAGGAAACCTAATTTCAAATCAGTGTCCTTTTTGTTCTAGTTTTCTGATGTCTGAGTTTAATGTTTCTCTTTATTTTGTAATCATTGAACCGGAAGTCAAGAAAATAATGTTACTTTGAGAAATTGTTTTGAATAAACAGCTCTAAGTTGTCCCCAGAGTATTACCAAAACCTTTTAAATTGTGTTCTGAAAGAACCACAGTAAAGCTAAGATTAAAAAAATATATAATAAATATAAAGACTAGAAGCCTTTTTGAATAGAAAACACTCAAAATGCAGCAGATAAAGTAAAAACAAAACATAAGAAGGAATATGACTGTGGTGTAGCACAATGTATTTACACTGACTCGCTGGTCCATCAGTTCTCACCTAATTGTACAACAAAGTATTGCAGTACAAAAGCCCAGAAATTCTTTATCCAGTTTTAACATCAGTTGCAAATTTTTAGTGACTCCATTAGTAAATTACCCTAAATAAAAAAATTTAAAAATAAAATAATAAAAAAAAGGAGTTTATCATGTCTAATACAAATATTAGTCTACTTGCTAGTTTAAAGCACATTCTGGAGGAGGAGGAGAGTTGGAGGAGGACAGTTGTTATGTGTGAGGATGAAAGTTAATAAGATGTGCCAGCCACCTTCACTCCAGGCCACAGTTAAGCTGCAAATTCCTCTGCTCTGAGATCATTCTTGTAATCCACCCAACACCATAAAGCAGGAGGAGGAACATTTTCCTTGTTGGGGATCAAGCAGGTTTTTGAGGCATTTTTGGCCATCTCTCCATACCTTAGAATGCAGCACAACACACGGGGTTCCTGGGCTGAAGGTTTTTCACTTTGCCCACCTGACCAGAATAACTTCAACAATTTCTTTACAAAATTAGTTTGGCACACTTACCTGTCAATACAGGGGACAGCAAGATGATCATCAGAATCTAGTTCACCCTCATCTCAGATTCCTGCAGAAACACAGAAAGATGCAAAGATTTACACGTGGAGAAAGAAATGAAGCAACCTAATGGCCACCCTGTTTAAAATCAATAAAGCAGAAATGCTCAGGGCATGAAGATTTTGATGGAAGAGAGAGAGGAAGTTTATAATATTGCAGATTTCCAACATATTCATCACGCTGTAACAAAAATACTATGCAGAGCTTTGCAAGGGCAGAGCCTGATGCGACTTCACTCACTCCAGAGTGCTTCTGGCAGCATGAAGTCAGTACTAAGACAAAAATAAGCTCTCTGGGTTATTAAGGGAGACATAATTTCAGGCCAGATCTAACATAAGGTGAAAGATGCTGCTCTGCTGTTTCCCACTGACATCTTCCTTGATTTAAGTCTTGCCAGAACACTGAGCATCCCAGAAATGTGTGGCTGCTGAACAACCCAAGTTTGAGCAGCCAGATGTTTGGGTTTTCCCCAAGTCCAGCTGAGATCCAGGGTCTGCTGTTTCCAGGCCTCCAGAGGGATTCCCCAAATGGTCAGACATGCCAGCCCAGCTCCTGGATCAGCAGGCACAGCCTATACCCAAATAACTTCTATCCCTGAAGAGCATGACTTGATTCAAATTTTAATGCCTTCACTGACGGGTAGAAGCTCATGCTGAAAAAATTCCTCCCTGTTATGTATTTCCTCCTTTTACAGATATAAATGGAAGGGAAAACCCCAGAGATTTCCATTGCAAAAGCAAGTTTGACAAACCTTTTTTTACTTTTTGGTGTACTCTGGTGTACAATACTCCATTAAAAATACTATTAGATTATGTTACATATGTTACTTCTAGGCACAATAAGAGGTCTAAACAGGCACTCTCCTTTAGACCCTTTATTTTAAATAAAGCTAGGCTTTGACATATTTTACTAAAGATAAACATAGCTATCCAAAATGTTTGGAATAGGAAGAAAATACTTGCAAATCTGTCTCCAGCACCTGCATAATTCTGCACAACTGTCTTACAGAAGAAACAAACAAAAAAAAAGCTGCTGAAGGACATTTCCCACACTGAACTACTGTATTTTTTACCAACATCAGTTGTATTTGAGATTAGACCTGGTAAGTTTTGCATTTTTAGAGTGGGAGATATAAATGTGAACTCCACCATCATTAAGGTTACAAGAGGGAGGTAAGAAAGTTCATAACATAAGCTGTTTCTCACCAGATAAAACCCAGAATCCAGAAAGAAGGCAGCAGATTAAAAGTAAAGCAAAATAAACCAACCTAACAGGTTTCTTAATCTTTGGGATGGGAAAAACTGCTTCCACTTCTGAACCATCTCTTTTACAGGCACCAGCTTTCAGTTTCTAAATGGATCCAGACAGAGGAGGAATTACTTTGGACTGGATATATCATTCACAGATGAAACCTCCCAAAATTGCTCTCAAATGCTGACACAGCAGCTCAACATACTCCAAAACCAGACTTTGTTGGCTGTAGGAAAGCTTTACATCTCGGTCAGTTTAGGACAGACATTGCTAAGATTTACTAAAGGTATGACCACAGCAACAGCTTGAACCTTAAGCAAATATTTTGGGATATTTTTTTGTAAACAACCGAATTAAAAAAAGGCAACATAAATGTTAAGCATTCAGCTACTAACCCCCCCCCCAATAAAAGTTACAGAGAGGAGTTCATTGCAGGGAATTTTTGCATGTCACTATGGAAGAGAGGAGAATGCCAGCAGTTTGTTTTGTGTCAAGGCCAAATTCTCCTATTTGTAGAAATTACCCATTTTGCATTTTGGATGTTAACTTCTTTTTCACTGTGCTCTCCAGAGCCAATCCTAAGGATAAGAAAATCAACTTGAAAAACCTGCTCTTTGCCAAGACCAGGGAAAAATCCCTATTAACAAGAGTGTTTGTGTATTGGAAATTCATAGAAAATAAATAATGGTGCCAGTCCTGGCTTCTTAATGAGGCTGGGTGAGGTTACACAGTGGAGAAAGACACCGTCACTGGAAGAGTGAGCAACTGTCCTCCCTTCTGCCAGACAAAAACTGAATCCGCTCCCAGATTCTGCTTTTCCAGCTCCTCAATCTCAGGATCAGTAGAGCAGAAGCTCCTCTTTATCTCAGAGCTTCTGATGCACCCCTGAATAGATGTCTGTGTTATGAAATCCCCGGTTACTTGCACATCCCACTGCAACAGGTTTCCCTTCCAGACATGGCTTTCGTGAGTGGCTGGGCAAGAGAACACAGCCCTGCACAGGCTCAGCCCTCAGGAGACCCCAAACACCCCAGGCAACAAGGCTTTCTCCTTTTGTGAGCTCTAGTGCAGGCCTCTCCTACACCAAATCCCCCACTTTTAACACCTCTGTAGGAACGGAACACCTTCGCAGATTTCTGTTCCTGTAGAAAATTTGGTGGAAGCTGAACAGTAAATTCAAAAGCCATTGCAAAGCAGGAGGAGATGGATAAGGAGGAGAGTCACATAAGCCGTTTTCTTTATCAAATTAATCTATAAAACTCCAAGCTGTAAAACTATAAAACCCCAAACTGCCAAACCATAAAACCCAATCTGGGAGTCCAGGCGAGAGCAGAGGCAAAGAGTGCAGCTGGATATTGCCACCCCACTCAGGGCTGCAGTGAGGAGATGTGACGTTCTGGCAGTGTGCACTGCAGCAATAGTGACTTGGGTCAGGGAGCAGCAGAGCTGCAGTCAGGCAGTATTTACAGTCATCTCTCTCCTCAGCTCCTCAGTCCTGCTCTTCTTCCCCCCGGTGAATTAAGCAGGACGCTGCCTCCCAAACCCAGCTGCTGCCACTGCTGGAGGAAAGCCCCTGCTGTGCCACTGTGCTGCAGAGTGAACATTCCCAAAAGGACACGGCTCAAATCTTTTCTCCCATATCTGGCAAAGTAAGGGATGTTCCAGTGTGTGCATGAATTTGAACAAACAGACTGAAAATGCTGAGATTTTTGCTTCCCTTTTTTTCATGGTAACACCTTTAAGGAATTTTCAACACAGGGATTTCCCTTGTTTGTGGGTGTTCCTCTATGCCACAAGCACATCTAGAAAAGTTACTAAATAAAACCAGCACAGCTCAAGTAAATTCTGCTACTGAGTAGACAAGTCATGCCTATCCAAACATGCATTTATTCTGACTCACACAAACACGAGTCAACAAAAATCATACACCTCTATTGGCAAACTCAAGTGAATAGTTCTGCAGAACTTCTTAACACTATTTCAGTGCCAGAGCATCCCCAATTTGTGTCTCTGAACTGGCTCCCAGCTGACCAACCAGCACAGATGCCTGCACAGCCACAGAGAAATCCCTCTCTGCACATTCATGAGGATGGCTCAAAAATGGATATGCTGAAACACCTAAAAATGAGGCATTTGGGAGAATCCAACAACAGGATTAGCATGTTTTAGTTAATATAACTCCAAACAACAAATGTCATTAATTTAACCTTAACTTTTCTGAACACAACACTTAATGCTACCACAGCACCCTGTTTTCTCTATTTTCATGTACACAAAGATGTCATCAACCCTGAAGGCACTCTCATTAGCACATATGCCTCTGAAATCAAAGGTAATTTACATGTGATGTCTACAAAACATGAATAGCAGCAGAGTTCACGTGATTACAGAATAATTTACACAACCCAGTTCAATAAAAAACTGCTAAAGCAGGGCAGTTATGATGCACTAAAGTACCAACTGCTGCTTTAGCAGTACTCTCACATAATTTATAGGCAGCTAAAGTCACTTTGCACTGTAAAGCTCCAGGCAGTCCATTAGTTTAGTAATGCTCAGAGACTTACAGATGTCTTTAAAACAAATAGAACCCAAACACACACACTGAATTCTGCACTTGTCCCCAAGTTAAACTGAGAGCTGAGATACTGAGGTGAGTGCTAGGACCAAGCACATCTGGACATGATGGATTCAAATCCTGCCTGAGAGAGACGTAACAAGCAAACCTGATTTGATTCCAGACCAGCAAAGAAGAAAGCAAAGAGCTGAAAAATGAATGTAGCAAGAGAAGAGCTAACTGAGATTCTGAGAGACTCCTATCAGCTAATCCTGCCATTATATAAAGCCAGAGCGAACAAAGTCTGGTCATGAGGTTGAAATGTGAACAGAATCAGGAAAACAGTTCAAGGAAGTGGAAAAACAGTTATTTTATACATCAAGAGGCACCATATTTGGGCATATATTTAAAATTCAGAACAGAAAGAACTCCATGTGGACCCTTTCAGAGCTAAATATCAAATCTACAGCTGCTCAAACACTTACTGGAATGAATTCATATATTTGTGACTCTCTTAGTGTTTTGCTATGCTCGACTACTCTCATCTTGTTTTCCTCAGCAGCCTAAACACAATTGCTTAAATGCCTGTATATTATGGGGTAGCAAAGAATGGTCTTATAAAATGCCAGATGCTTTGTAGCTTCAGATTATTCACTGCTTATGGCAGCAAATGCATGCCAGCAGCAAAAAACAAAAACAAAAAACCAACAACAAACCAAAAAAAAGAAACACAAACAAAAAATGAAATTTAATTCCTGTTCAAATCCAGACAATATAAATATATACTGTTAATTTCATATGCATTAAAGACAGAGAATCTCCATAGTTCAACACTTTACCTCCTTGAAGACACTTTAACAGAGACAGGAAAAAGCAGCATCAAGAATTTGGGCACCAGAATATGCTAAAATGAGACAAATTAGCACAAAATCAGGGATTTCCCACAGAAATGCAAAGCAGAGATATAGGAGGGACCTCTCAGCCACTGTTTCCCACCCAGGCACTAAATGGCTTCTTCCAATTCCCTAGATCTGGAGGAGGAGGGAACACAAGTGCAAAGTTTATGAAGATTATGACCTTTTCCTTCTTGTGACAGCAGGAGTCAGGACTCTACACATTTGCTATAATTTGATCAGCCTGAACAAATGTGGAGCACAACAACTCACAAGGAAACTCCTAAGTTGATGTAAGCATGAAACCATGAG